CCTGCAATGGTGAGTAATAGAGTGAGCTTCGGAAAGCTCAGTAATACAGAACTACCAGATGATGCTGAAAAACATGCAGATACAGATAAAAACATATTTTCCTTATTGGTTCAGATATTTACAGATCTTTATGTTGAGCTGAGGTCTATTGATATCGCATGTAGTAACAAATAGTATTCATTTCAGATGGAAATATTTCGGATGTCTAGGTTCAGGAGATCAGAACAGGTTTTCTAGTGTGTTCCCAAAAATCATGTAACTTTTCAGATCTTTTTAAAACAAATATATATATACCCCCATCCGTCAAGTCCAAAATGTGTAGGTTCCCCAGAACTATACACCCACCGTCAAGTCCAGTAGGCCCTGAGCACACAGCCGAGGAGCCGGTAAGTAAGGCCCTGAGCACACAGCCGAGGAGCCTCCAGGTATACTTCCTCTAACATTACCCCCCAAGTAAAACATGTTCTGTCCATAAACGAATATATAAAAAATCATAACATAATCCAGGTCAAGTATCAGATCAAAATCCAGGTCAAGTATTCGATCAGAATCCAGGTCAGGTATCCGATCAGAATCCAGGTCAAGTATCCGATCAGAATCCAGGTCAGGTATTATAATATAAATCAAATCGGAAATCAGGTAAAATATCCAGTTGATTAGGGAACACACCAGAGTTTACAGAAATTATTCAGAGGTACTGGATAATCTTCACAGGTAGAGGAACATAGATCTTCAGTATACCGATAGAATATCAGAATTTAGAATCACTGTTGGAAGAGTTCAATAACTGACAAAATCATTAATTATTCAGAATATGACTTGAGCTGGTAAGGAAGAAATGAAGGTTCAGGACATTTACAATCTATGTCGATTGATCGGATTATCAAACAACTCTTAGATGAATAGCTCCCAAAACTAATGCTTGTCGATTGATCAATTCATTGTTCTTCCATGGTATTTACTCTTTAATACCACAAATTCTTGTCCATCGGTCATTTTCAAAATCATCGCTGAATAGATCTTCTAATGTCTTTATTTCATTTTCACGCTTCCACAATATCATGTAATGCTGACGTACTTGATTATTTTAATCATAAACCATCGTAATTGTACACTATGTAAACTCATCAGAGTTTCCAGACTTATCCAAATCACTTACTAAATCCTCAGTCATTGAGGTTACCTAATTCATTTAGCAGTCATGTCCATTCCCGTAATATTCGGGGGTTTTCAGGGTAATCCAGACGTTTCCGAATTTCGGATACATACTGTAATTTCGTTCAATTCAATTTGGTATTCGTGGTCGATTTTTCTAACAAATATCAACTCCTTACTATTGAATGCGTTCTAGAGTTGAGCTGAGCTGAATACTTCCAAAACTATCATCGAGCTAAACTTGAAAATACAAACATGCATTCAAGTGACATTTATGTCGTTCAGGTACTGATATAACACTAGCATTGGTGATCCATAACTTTTAAGATCAGTACCATACCCATGTTTATTTGGATTCCTTAATTAATCCAACATCTACTTAGTCTAGGTCACAAGGGTATTTTGGTAATTTTGGTGTTCAGTTTTATTCCATTCATTTCAGAGCTCGAGGATATTCAATCATTCCTGAGCTTGGTGGTATTCTTGGGTCATTTCTATTACAGGGGTATTTTGGTCATTTTACAGATTCAGTGTATTTTAATCATTTTCTTCTATCCGATCTTACTATTAACTTGAATCTTATCATTTATTTCAGTCCTTTCGAACAATCCTGATAGCAGAATACCTCTAATAAATTATTCTTTAGGTATTCACTCATTACTCGAATATTTTCGAGTCAAGTGCCTTTTCAGATTTTACAAACGGAATATCATGAATTTTTCTGTACAAAGACAAATCTTAATAATTAAATTCGTAATTAATCGAGTTAAGTACAAATCCTCAAAGTACTTTTTCATTCAGGGTCAACTTATACTATTTTATCTCTCAAGGGCATTTTCGTAATTTCTTAATCAGATAATTTCGGTATTACCTCTTAATGAAAATAATTATAATTTAGAGATCCTATGATCAATTGCTTTCCCGAACATTCTCTTATCTTGAAATGATTCCTTAAAAGACTTCTAGTATCTTGCTCAACTCCTCTTGGGTTAAAATCCGGTTATCTATATTTTCTAAGCAAAACTAGCATTTCTTATGCACATCAGTAGTTTTATCATATCAACATGTCTTTAAAAACCTCTTATCCAACTTCCATAGTCAAATCTTGTCTTTTTATAACACAAGGGTATTTTCGTAATTTTACCCTACCAGAATATTCTCATAATTTCCCATCCAAGTACCTTTAACATATAACCTTTGATGAAATAAATTATAAATTTCAGATCCAGGTTGATTTCTTTACTACCAAACACAGAACTTGAAATTTAATTCTAACAACCCTTCAATCTCTTATATTAATCATTCGATCCGTATTCAGATACTGAATTTCTACCACATTCATATCGAGTGTATAAATTAATCAACTCCACAAAAGTGACCAACATTATCTCATTCATGCATTTACCAATATCAACATATTCCATAAAGCATAAAGAGGTAGTAAAGTATTATCTCGATTTCCGTGCAATACTGATCGACCATAAAAATTTCATTCGAATGCCTTTGATCTTCAATTCAACTTCCAATAATTCCTCAGATACATATCAACATAAATTATATCAGAAACGGAGCTTAATTACGATAAACGGATCGAATCGGGTAATAAATCAGTGAAAAATAGCTTACCGGGTTCAAATTTTGAGAAACGGACTTCGGATTTGGATTCAGGACGTCGAAAGCATAAAATATGACTTTTCAGAAATTTGGAATTTTCTGTCAAAATCAAAGTCAATGGGTTTGACCGGCAATTTCAAGGCCTTCGGGTTCAAATTTCGAAAAACGGAATGCGGAATTGGATTTGGAACGTCGAAAAATGTCAGGATAGGTATACTCGGTCAAAGTCAAAGGTCGTTTAATGCCCGGTCAAAGCCCGTCAAAGTTTTGGTCAACAGTGGTCAACACGGTCAACGGGTCGGGTCGGGTTGTGATCGGTCAAACCGGTTAAAACAGTTCCAAAACCGGTCACTTTTTCCTTCCCCACGCGCAGTGGCGGCGCGTGAACAGTGCCCTAATATCGGAAAAATTCCTAAAAATTATTTTAAGCGATTTCGAGATACTTACAAAGCTCGGTTCAAATTTTTGAACGACGGAGAGCTCGATTTCAACGAATTGGAAACTTTGACCGCTTCACCTCCTCACGCGCCGCCGTCGACGGAGACCAAGGATGACACCGGCAGACTCGGAACGATGCAAGGAACACGATGGTGCGGGAGGTGTCGTAAACGGATGCTCGGATCGTCGTGAATCGATAAAAAAACCAATTGAAATTGAGTTATTAGCAACGATACTTCCGACTGAAATTAACGACAAACGACGACGATTCACGACGAAAGGTTTGAGGGGTTTTGTTCCTCGGTTGACAACGAACACAATGGTGGTTTCAGCTCGTCGATCGGAGGTCAGAGACGAGTAGATCGAAGTTGAAAGTTGGTTGATCAGAGAGGGAAAACTGGGAAAATTTATGCTGAGCTGTGCACGAGGAGAGTTATATAATTCAACATATATAAAAAAATCGTTAAATCATGGGTTTAGCCACCGAATTTTTTGCACTTTATAAAACGGTCTGCCAACTTTACAACTTTACAACTTTACAATTTAATCCCCAATTTCTTCTAAAAATGCCAATTAAATTCACCACTTTATAATTTCTTAAAATTTATCCCCTAAATTGGGGTGTTACACACACCCTTAAAACTCATCAAAATTCATCTGAGCGGAACTCTCCAATTTATCACCCCAAAAAAAACTGATCTTCCAATATGATCCGATTTGAACTGAAAAATAAAATCCAATAACCAAAATAAAAGAATAAGCTCAGTTCAGTTTAAAAAATGCATATCGACCCCAACGAAGTTGATCACTTTAGGGCAGCTTATATAATGTAAACATGAAATTTACGTGGCAGAGAGGAGATTCTTATTAATCCCGAGTCACCCCTTCACCAAGCTCAGCTCCACGTTGCACAAATAAAACCCCGACTAAAACTACACATGCATGTATAAAACGAGTGGGAGCAGATGATAATTACCGGCGAATCTCATCCATCTTGAGCTAAGTAATCTATGCAAAAGATACAAAGTTAGATTCTAAAAAAATCATGTTTCATAAAAGTAGCTGATATTATTCAGGAGAACCAATCCATTACAAAAGAGAGCTCTAAGTTTTAAGGATATTAATGCTACACGGAAATAAAAACTCAAGCCCAAAGTAGCTGTCAGAAAACCGATACCAATCACCGGATAAGTTCCCTTCGTATGGCTGGAACAATTCCTTCCAATAATCAAAACATGCAGACCTGCAAAGATGCAATTATGTGACACTTCTTTACCATTATCTAACATACAGACCACCGACCGATAAGAAAATCGATAGAACAACCTGATCTCTACTGCTTGATGTTTTTTCCCTCTGTTGCTGGCTTTGCTGCAACTTGTTCATCTGACAAAGGCAAATAGTAGATCCGGGGAGTTGCTTTGGTTTTCCGAAACAAATCATCCAGAGTGACAATAGGAGGATCTAGTTTCTTGGGAGGTGGAGACAAAGGTGACGGTGGAAGCACAGAAATTGACGAAAGCTGCTGTCTAGAAATATGTTAACGAGGTGAAGGTTGGGATTAAGAAATATTTATTTAATAAATTAGAAGAAAAAAATAGCATTAAATCTTGAAATAATGCTATTTTATTAAAAAGTATAACTACTGCATTATTTTATTAAAAAGTATGATTATTTTTTGAATATATAAAAGTATCTGTACACCAAACTACGTAGTTTTGATAGGTTTAAGGTAAGCTCAATATATATATATATATATATATATATATATATATTGCTTTTATGGTTTATCTCTTGCCGTCATCAAGAGTCTTGTTTCAAGGTAACTCTTTTTTTTAATTTCATCTAAATTTCTTACTGAACTCTCATATCTATTTTTTTACAACAAAGGATTGTGTATTCCTTGGAACAATTAGAATCGATGCTTCTGCTTATATCTAACTTTTGATTCCCAATTTCTAATATCAACTGCATTTGCTTTATTTCCGAAGGGTTTTTTTTTGTATTTTGGTTTACTGCTATCTCGTTTCATCATGTCCCAATATGGAGCATATCCTTCTTCGGAAGACTCGGACTCAAGCTTTGAGGTATGCTTTTGAAGGGTTTCATTTATTTTTCTCAGTTTTTTCTTCTCTTAGTTTTCTATTATAAAATAACTATTTTAGTATATGCTTTCCGTTTTCTATTGTTTTTGTTCGGCTAGAATTCTTAGACTTAATCATTTATTTACCATTCAACCTTCTAATGATTCTCATACTAATCATGGGATTCTTTCTCTATTTTCTTTTTTTAATTATGATGACAGATATGTTTATCATATGATGATTTTCCTTTTGGTGATACGAAACTTCTTGATTTGGTAGTCGTTGATAATAAGGATGCATTTGTTCAACGTATTAAGAAGCAGAGGAAACGATCAGAACTTCATGATGCTTGGTATCAATCAAAAAATATGTTATCTTCAATTTTCTATTATATCTCTGCAAGAAATGCAGTAAAGTGTGCAACTGCTCTATTAGCCGGAGAAACAGGTCTCGATGTAGACATTAATGCCCTTCATCCAGTGCTTGGTTCAAATCCACTGTATTTTACATCAGGTCCTCCTGAGTTGATCGACTTATATATCCGCAATGGAGCTCGGACTGACATCAGGCATAAGGGCATGTTACCTTTAAACAGATTTCTTGACTACATAAGGTATTGGTTTGGAATATTTTTCTACTTGGTTAATTGCTCTATTGATCTATTACATATAGAAGCAGGGTTGGGAAGTAGTGTATTAATTATCTATTTTCATTTATGTTTGCATGTTTGTTTTCTATTGCAGAAGGGGACATGAAAATATTGATTGGTCTTCAAAACAATCTATATGCATGGTGATTGTCTTTTTGTGCTTAGATATGGTCGGTAATTATCTGTGAACTCTTATCATATTGCATTTTCTTTGAATATATATATATCCTAGATTTCTATTATTGTTATTAGTTTGTTTGTGTTGTATCAACGTCAGGAAAAATTGGAGTCTCTTAGGTTGCTTTTTGAGAACACAAAAGAGGTTGAGAAAGAAGTATATCACTACATGAAGGGCGGAAAACTTGTTGAGACAACTGCCCTGTTGATGATAGCTCGAGAAGAAATTACATCACCAGTTTTTTTCAAGGATTTTACTTCGAGTGGGAGCATGTCCCTTCACCAATTGGTTTTGTTAGAGATAGAAGCACTAAAAGCATCACAAATGAAACTAGATTCTACTAGTGAGGAGATACATGAGCTGAAGAATAAGTTGGAAACAATGAATTCTATGTTATGCTTGATTAAAGTTCTTCAAAGTGTTGGTCCTGAAATTGACCAATATCGTCAAGACCTACCTAAGGTGTGTTTTCCTTGATGTTCTTGATCGCTTTCTACTTATCTTTTAAGTTTCTTTTTGTTGGGTAAACAGTGTCTTTTGGTTTAATTTGTTGTCTATAATCATTTACAGTTGAGCATGGAAGAATTGGCTACAAAAGTGGCATACCTTCTTATCAGCAAAGGATTTGTTGAATATGAGGACTTGAAACGGTTTGAAATTTTGCTTTGTCTATGCTGCCTACCACCTTCTGCTTGCATTTATCACATATTTAGAAATTAAAAGAAAAACTTTAATTTGGCCTCCTGCCTTTAATAATATACAATTTTCATTTTAGTTTCAGACCCGTTTCGGACGAGACATTGCCGACATCCCATCAGCACTTTCTGAAATCATTAGGTAATTGCTTTATTTGTTGCTTGTCCTGTTACTGATTAGATTGTAAAGAAAACAATATGCAAGATCCTTCTAACAGCATAGTTTTTGTTTTAATGTAGGAAGTAAATTACATGGCAAAAATGAAGGCAGTCAGTTGGAAAGCAAAGATGTGGGCCATGTGACGGATGCCATGGTAAGAAAAATAAAGCTCACCGTGCTGATCAGTTTGTTGTTAATATGTTCATTATCTTTGAAAGCAATCAGTACTCCCTTTCAAAAACCTGAAATTGTGTTCTATTGGTAAGAGAATTAAAATTTTTGGTTGTGAGCGTGAATGTTTTTAAACTGGTATGTCACTCGGCATTCTGTCGATGCAGCCCATATTTATTAATAATAAATATTCACATGTATGTATATATCTTTTTTGCCTATGTTTATGTGACCCCCATCATTTGATCACTCTAGCTTCTGAATCCCACTGCAACAGTTCCTCAAACATTTTGTTTACCGAGTTTTGAGGTAATTAGTTGGTATATATTCCTGTTGTTTCCTTCTTTTTGCTATTCTGCTAACAGCGTAGCACAAACGTTGGCTATGTCTGGATTTTGTAGTGATGACGAGGAAGATGTTGTGTAACCAACACCTTGATACTATTGGCAGAAGAAACCAAAAACTGGATTTGTTGATTTTATCTCAAATCATTAATAATTTTGTGTGAACTTTTTATGGTTCTGTTTGATAAATACCATTATAGTATATTTTGCCTGCTTGTCCAGTTGGATTCTCTTGATGTGAAATAACTTGTTAGTGAAGCTACTTTATGAGAAGCTAGTTTAATAAATACATAGACTTTAAAAGGTAGTCTTCAACTTTAAGAAGTTATCATCCATGCTTGACATATGCAACTCTGGTTGATCCAAATTATCAAGTAATGGAATTCATGCATCCAATGTAGTTTTTAGACTCAATTTGAGTTGTCTGAGGTTTATTGTTTATTGATAAATTCTGGAATTATTGTAATAGGTTCTGCAATTCAGAAGGCCCATGTAGTTCCATGTAATAAACCTAACATACTGCGTTTGCTGTTTCTCTTGTTATTTGTGCTGTCATTATCTTGCAAGAAGTAGATGTAAAATGGATTTTCATTATATCATGTTTCACACATTTGGCAACCTTGAATCTCCCGTTAGGTAGATGCCATAGAGAATCCAGAAATGAATTGTTGTCTTAGAATGAAAAATTGGCCTTGATGCTTATCCTTCATGAAATGAGTTGGTTGGGATGCTTGGATGGTTTAGTTGTTCAAATATGTGGCTCACATGATATTAATTGGTTTTTGTGCTGTTCCTGTCCTGGAACATGTATTAATTTCCACTGGATCTGTTGCAAGTTTGTCTTGAATTAATATTCCGCTGCCACCAGGTCAATAAGCTGCATTCTTAATGTGTTCTTCTCCAGGGAAATGGTGACCAGTCAGCAAGTCTAGTAAAAAATCATCATGCCAATGGCGTATCCTCTAAACATGATGGAAGAGAAAAGGTAATGGCACTCTTGCGATGATTGGATATAATTGGTTTTCACTTGGTCATGATTCATGCACCCTTCTGCTGTTTTGATTTTTGGCCTTAGTGGATACTAAACACTTCCTATTGGTTTTCCCATCTCATTCACCTGTCTTTCTATTTGTTTCTTTGGATGATGAATGAACTTGACGCATTTGTTCATATATATATATATATGAATGTCTTCTAGGAGCTAGCAGATATGCTGGAAGAGAAAAATAGGCCCCTGGGGGCAGTTCAAGCTAATCATGAATTACAGATAAAGCAATTGAATATGGAACTTGAAAAGGAATGTGATAAACTTGGGAATCTGCAGATGAGATTGCAAGGTATATTTGTACACCTTGAAGTTCCAATTATGATACTTGCAATATCATCAATTGTCAAAGAAATGAAACATCATCTTCTTCATTTGTAAAATTCCAGAGGAGCACAAGCTGAATGAGTCTCTTCAGGAGGAGCTTGGAGTTACTGAAATCAGAGAAGGATAAAGTAAGCTTCTAAATTGTTCAGTGTCGATTGATGTTATCATTTGTTTGGTTGCATAGCTCCCAACGCTTTCTTTTATAGCACATAATTACTTTGTATGTTGAAAATTACACATAGTATTCTCTTCAATTCAGGTAGTCTTACCTTCAATTATCAACGAGGATATTGATCATGACTTGGCAAGTTTAACATGCTTTCCACTGCCTTAAATTACAATGTTCCAATTGTATAATCAATTTGCTGTACTTTTGTTTCAGTATTTTTAGCATCAATCACAGTATTTAGGGTCTTCCTTGAAATTATTGTGTTTTTCAAATGGATTCTGTGCATAATGATTGTTCAATATCAACTAATCGTTTAGTTCTTTTTTTTTGTCAAACAGAAAGCAATGAAGGTAAAAGCTGGATAGTTGCATGAATCTCCATTAGAATGCTCAATTTTGTTTTAAGTATTTATAGAAAATAAAAAATACTTTAATCTCCGTCTTAGTAAATTCCTGGTTCTGCGCCTTTGACGTGAGATGGATAGTTGGCACGTATTGCTATTTGGGTTTTATTTTTAAGGTTTTCTTTCATGTTTATATTTTCGAATAAAATACAATCATTGGGAGCCGAAGATGTCGTGCTTCATATTATCTTTCATGCATATTTGAAAGTCGGGCCATTGAGACTTATTGTTTATTTGATTTTTTATTTCTTTGGGCCTTCCACATTACATCGGTCCAAATTCATTACATAAATTGACATGTGACCCACTTATATCATCTGCCTACTCAATTAAATCTGAACCCATTTGTTTGCAACTCAAACCCTAAATTAAGGGAGCAAAGGCTAACTAAACCTTAACCTTGTTAAGTCACTCTCAATAACAGTTTGAATTAAAAATTGAGTTATTTGAGTTCTTGTTTTAATTTAATTATAAATATTTATAATATTATGATATTATATTTCTTCATAATTTTTTTGTATGCGTTGTTGAAAAAATTGATTACTGCAAAACAAGGCATTAACACTTACTGAAAAAAATATAAAACGAAATATACAAGCAAAGAACTGATTAATAGTCTCGTGATATTAACCATTGTCTTAAAAACAAATTCGTCCTGATGTGTATAACTGTTACAATAGACGAATGACCCTCCGAAGTCAGCACGACTTTCTAAATAGGACAACTATTCAACATCTTTATTTGGTGAATTCAATAAGTCATTCTCAAATAGGACAACCCGAACTCTTGAGATTGAATTCATTAAGAGTTTAAGAAAACTCATCCTCTCTAGCGACAAGTCATCTAGTCTTTCACAGTAAGACCACCCACTAAACATTGGGTTATGGACTTATTAAGAGTAGATATTCAACCTAAATCGGTAAATTCATCAAGTCTTTCTCATTAAAACCACCCAAAGTCTAGGCTATGAATTTATTAAGAGCAAAGAGCTCATCTTGTGCATGCGCATTATTCATCATAGAGACATGTATGTAGAAATGTACACTATAAGTCTTTCCATGGTTCATTTGACCACTTTGAACTTAGATAACTAAGTTGGGTATCCAACTTTAATTCCTCAACCAATGGGCTTTAGACCCATCCCCTCGACGAATTAAGAACCAATTTTTTATTTAACTCTTTAGTAAGCGAATCGACTAGATTCTTCTTTGAATTTAGTCATCATTTAAGACACCCCACATTTTTAATATTTTTAAGATAGAAATAAATCCATACTTTATTTAGTAATAATTCTTGAAAAATCATTTTGATATGATATTAGTTGTTTAATTGGTAAACTATATTAGTAGTAATTAACCTGTTGTTTCTTCTCTATTTTGGTCATCAAACTATTTTTTTTAGCAAAATCATCACCATCATTATATTTTTTTTTCTTAATTTGATCATCGATAGTTAAATAATAAAGAAATTTATGTCAATATCACCGTTAAATATTTAACGTACAATGATAAAAGTCAATGTAATTGTGAAGGGAGTTTTGTTATCATTTAAAACTGACGTAGTTGCTATATTGAATGAGCAAAAAAAGAGAAAAGTAAAAAGACATTAGTTTGTATGTAAATGATAAATTTACAACTATCATTAATTGATGGGACATTGACCTATCAACGACCAATTCAATCCAATTCTTCTTATTGCATTCAACTTAACTGCTCTATGCTTCACTTGTTTTTTTATGGGCGTTTTGTATGTTATTAATAATACGAAATATATAAAATAACGACAAAGATTATGGTCTCATTAAAAAATCTCTTTAAACCTAAGTGAAAGAAAAAGAGTGCCCTAATCAATGCCAAACAAAACATATACATACGACCAAAAACAAGAGCGGTATATTTGACATTTAAGATTTTGATATTTTATGAATTTAGATTTTAAAGATTATTATAGTCATAATTATAATCTTATTAGGTAGTTCGATTATTGATTGTTATCAATTCTAGTGGTAATTGATGGTTCATCAATGTCATAATGAAATAGTTGTTTCTCATACACTTCAAGGGTGCGTTTGGTTCACAGAATGTAAGATTACCAGGAGGAATAAAAGATTATCGGGAGGAATAAAAGATTACCGGGGAATAAAAGATTACCGGGGAATATGATTACTGGGAATATTGTATTTTTTGTTTGGTTAGTTTTGCAGGAATGTAAGATTACCGTGTTTGGTTAAAGAAATAAAAGATTATTGGAATGTATATTTGACAAAATTGTCCCTATTATATATTTGTTTTTTAACAAGTTGAATTCTACTATAATATTACTATAATTAATTTATATATTTTCTTTTAAAAAATTTAAATTCATAAAATTTATATAATTTTTTTTACAAAATTGAAAAGATAAATAGGTTTAATGAAAGGGTAAAATTTTATTTTAACCCCTGAACTTTATATAAAATTTTAATTATAGATTTTTTTGTAAATCTAAAATGGTTTAAGGATAAATTTATAATTTAACCTTTGTAGAATTTTTATTATTCAACGACAGAAGAAACATATTTTTGGAAAAAATATTTAAGGGCATTTTAATCCAAAACGTCAGTAATCCAACAATACCTAAGGGAATGGGGTAATCACATTCCCGGTAATATACCTAAAAAAATCCACTGTTGGTAATAAAAGATAACCGGGAATGAGATTACCGACCAACCAAACGGGAGAATGAAGATTTCATTCCCCCGATAATACAACATTCCTTGAACCAAACGGGGCCCAAAGGTTGTATCTCCTCCAAATCTCCTCTGCTCTACTGCTTGTCAAAACCTCTGAAAAGATAGTCTCTAGAAGAACTTCTCCACTGAACAAAGGCTTTAGAGTTCAACATCAGCTGACAAGTCAAAGGCCCTTGACGAGACTTCAGACAAGTCTACAATATATATCATGATCAAATCTAATATTGTACGATTTATTTATGCATTTTTTCAATCTATGAATAGTCATTATAACCTTAGGCGTGACATAAAAATTAAAGGTCAATATATAAATCTCATTGCGTGATTAAAAAATCAATTGGGGATTCATTCTCTCTTGGACATGCATCATTCTTCATCTTCAATTTACTGTTCTTCATTAAACCAAGGGTCACAACTCTTCGCTCTTCGCTCAAATCAGAATAAGTGAATCATCTATGTCATAATCCAAATTTTACTATATATATTATATGACACATGGGTAATTTGTTAAAATTTTATTGGATTGATACAACATATATTTAAGAATTGTGAAATACTATCAAACCTTAAATTCTAAAATTTATTTATTTGAATTATTTTAAAATTTATTTAAATTACTATTTAAAAAATAACCTCCAGGATTTTTAAATCATTTAAAAATATTATATAATCTTTAACCTTAAATATTTACATATAAAAAATACTATTAAATTATAATTCATTAAAAATATTAATACGTTTAAAATATTACCTAATTAGATTTAAACATAACTGCATATAATTATACAATTATTACATGTTTAATCAAATATTATAATTTATTCTATTAATTATTATATTTGAAGTAAAAATGTTTATAAGTTTGGTAATTATAAGTAAACCAAAATCCAATCAATATATAACTTTCCAGACACACTGTAACCCCCACAGACCGATAAGGGTAACCAGATCCGATCTGGGGTGTCACATTTGGGCCACCGGAGCGACCCACTGTAAAAATAGTGGAAAATTTAAAACTTTTATTGAAACGTGTAACTTATAAAATCAGTTGTCACTATTTAAAAATAAAACAGATCTCTAGACTCGTATATAAATCAAAATACAATTACATGCCCCCTAATCACATGTATCGTACTCTGCAAACAGCACCGGAAGAACTTCCTTACTGATGACGATAACTGCACTGGTACAATTCTTTTAACCTGCAATGGTGAGTAATAGAGTGAGCTTCGGAAAGCTCAGTAATACAGAACTACCAGATGATGCTGAAAAACATGCAGATACAGATAAACATATTTTCCTTATTGGTTCAGATATTTACAGATCTTTATGTTGAGCTGAGGTCCATTGATATCGCATGTAGTAACAAATAGTATTCATTTCAGATGGAAATATTTCGGATGTCTAGGTTCAGGAGATCAGAACAGGTTTTCTAGTGTGTTCCCAAAAATCATGTAACTTTTCAGATCTTTTTAAAACATATATATATACCCCCATCCGTCAAGTCCAAAATGTGTAGGTTCCCCAGAACTATACACCCACCGTCAAGTCCAGTATGCCCTGAGCACACAGCCGAGGAGCCTCCAGGTATACTTCCTCTAACATTACCCCCCAAGTAAAACATGTTCTGTCCATAAACGGATATATAAAAAATCATAACATAATCCAGGTCAAGTATCAGATCAAAATCCAGGTCAAGTATTCGATCAGAATCCAGGTCAAGTATCCGATCAGAATCCAGGTCAAGTATCCGATCAGAATCCAGGTCAGGTATTATAATATAAATCAAATCAGAAATCAGGTAAAATATCCAGTTGATTAGGGAACACACCAGAGTTTACAGAAATTATTCAGAGGTACTGGATAATCTTAACAGGTAGAGGAACATAGATCTTCAGTATACCGATAGAATATCGGAATTTAGAATCACTGTTGGAAGAGTTCAATAACTGACAAAATCATTAATTATTCAGAATATGACTTGAGCTGGTAAGGAAGAAATGAAGGTTCAGGACATTTACAATCTATGTCGATTGATCGGATTATCAAACAACTCTTAGATGAATAGCTCCCAAAACTAATGCTTGTCGATTGATCAATTCATTGTTCTTCCATGGTATTTACTCTTTAATACCACAAATTCTTGTCCATCGGTCATTTTCAAAATCATCGCTGAATAGATCTTCTAATGTCTTCATTTCATTTCCACGCTTCCACAATATCATGTAATGCTGACGTACTTGATTATTTTAATCATAAACCATCGTAATTGTACACTATGTAAACTCATCAGAGTTTCCAGACTTATCCAAATCACTTACTAAATCCTCAGTCATTGAGGTTACCTAATTCATTTAGCAGTCATGTCCATTCCCGTAATATTCGGGGGTTTTCAGGGTAATCCAGATGTTTCTGAATTTCGGATACATACTGTACTTTCGTTCAATTCAATTTGGTCTTCGTGGTCGATTTTTCTAACAAATATCAACTCC